GTTTAGCAGTTTTTTCAACAATTACTTTTTTCGATCTTAAAATATTTTTTCGGACCCAAGTAACAATATCCTTTTTAAGTAACTTTTTCCGTCTTACGTAAATTTTGTATGTACACGTAAGTCTTAGTAGTAAAACAACGGAAAAAGTGAGTTTGAGAAGTAAACACGACGAAAATCGGTCAAAAATGTGTGCCCGTTGTGAAAAAAAATTGTTTCTAGCAATCATCAAATTAGTAATGCCATCAGCGAGAAATATGAGAATCTTATAAAAAAAGCATGTAAATGCAAACTTTGAAGTGTCTGAACATGTCGTCGTACTTTAAAACACTTATGGAAATTAAAAAAATGATCATGAGCAGTTTGTACTTGGAGGTGAAAATAAGAAACTGGCAATGGAAAATCACTCAGCTCTCCTCAAAGAAGATGATAATGTACTTGTTATTAAAAGATGTCCAATTCCTGAATTACATGTGTTACAAGGAACGGATTAGTTCCGCCACTTACAAAAGCAACTTCTGCAAAATTAAGATGCGCTAGATGATCCAGAAATTTATTCAAATGTAGGCAAATTTTCACTTACACCTTTCATTTCTGCTTTCAAAGCTATGAACGAAATTGTGGATTTTTGTTGTTCTATGTCACCACCCGGCCAGGATTTAGATAAATTCATTAAAGAATTGAAAAAGGCTTATGCCAGTACAAAAGTTTCTGTGACATTGAAAATTCACGTAATTTTTGAACATCTTGAGCATTCCTTGCATTTTTTGGATGGCGAGGAATTTTGATTGTGGTCGGAGCAGCCAGGTGAATCAGTTCATAGAGACTTCTTAAACGTTTGGAACCGCTACAAAATCAACGTGAAAGAAGAACCAAGAAAGATTAGGAAGAATGGTCGTAGAATACTCCTCCATGCATATTTAAAATTTACATTGTATATTAAAATATACAATATTTAGTTAAAATAAATTTTATGGTTCAAACCAAATCGTTATTTTTATTATTCTTGTATCATTTTATAGTAATTATGAGTTATTTTTCAATTCCATAACTATTTTTTCGTAATTATAAAATACATTGTTACATTAAATTTCTTCCAAAAGCCTACAGTAACCTGGCTTTCCTCTGTAGATATGCGAAAGACTTTAAGGATCCATACACCAGGAAAGCTTTATTTATCTCTTTAGTACGATCAAAACTACAGTACGCTACTATTATATGGAACCCCATTTACGGCTGTCATGCCGCCAGACTCAAAAGAGTGCAGAGAAAATTTGTTCGTTTTGCGTTAAGTTCCCTTAACTTTGATGACCCGATGCCCTCATATTTTTCCTGTTGTAAACTTATTCACCTACAAACTCTTGAAACTAGAAGAATTGTCCAGTTGCTCATGTTCGTTTTTGATTTGGTTTTTTTGGCTCTTTGGATTGTTCGGTCCTTCTGGAGAAGATATCCTTTAATGTGCCTCACAGATTTCTACGCTCATCTCTGTCATTTTACTTGCGTGCTACTAAGGCTAACTATTACAAAAAAATAAAGATAAAAAAGTAATTAAAAATATTTATAGATCGGAAAAAGTAATTGTTGAAAAAAAAAAACTACCAACGATCAACTAAGATTTCATTCGGAATGGATTTTGAAATCATGAAATAGCTGGAAAAAGATGCAGGGAACCGTTTTATTAGGCATTTTCATTCAACTTCCTTTGGATTGAGGATAGGTGTGATCATAAGCTTTATAATTTAATGCCTGAAATCTGTAGTCAGTTGTATGAAACATTCCTTATTTCACACTTGATTTTGCCGTGTTGATGTCAGCAGGTCGTAAGGTTTTCTCTATTTCTCTAAGCCTTAAGCTCGGAACACTTTGACGACTGCAACTTCACGACGTAACGACAGCGACATCATTTTGTCGACAAATGTCGCCTTGAAGCCAGCTTCTTAAACATTTTGAAGACCTCAGCGACATAGCAAACAGCTGATTTTAAAGTTTGACATTTTGGTATATTTATTTCACAAATTGTGTATTTTTATTTAAGTAAATAAGAAAAACATGAACAATCAAGAATATGTGATTAATTTTGCAACAATTTAATTTTGCAGCACTACATCTACTCATTGTCGCCGGCAAAATTAGAAATAGATTTAATTTGGCGACGTCGACAATTGCAGTCCTGCAGCCAAGATGTCGTGCTGTCGTCAAAATAATTGTGTCCGTAAGAACGTGTGTATTTAAAATTTGACAGATGCTGCTTGTCGCTTGCTGTCGTCAAAGTGTTCCGAGCTTTATAGGCCATATAAAATAAGGCTTACATTAGCGCTTAAAATAAGGCCTACATGGAGTATAATTTCCTTATAATAAGGCTTATATATCATACTAGCAATTACCCGGCGTGCTTCGCTGCGCCTTAAATGTATTTTTGTGTTGTAACTCTCCCCCTAAGCTCTTATAAGTTAGATTTAAAAAAAATCGACCTATGAAGCATTGTATAGCATAGTAGGGAGATTTTTTCAAATTATATAAATATACGTTATTTGAATATTGAATCAATACACGTTTGAGGAAAGGGTGCGATAGTAGACTCCAGTTATAAGATTATAAATTAAATTTCCAAGAGAAAGTCGGTTCTTTACATATTTTCTAATTACCTTCGAAAATATATTAACTCAAAAAAAAATAAACAATGCTTAATAGATCGATTTTTTTTAAATCTAACTTCATAAAGTTCTTTAAAAATATTTTGTAAATGAGGCCATAAGAGCTTAGGGGGAGTGTTACAACACAAAAATACATTTAAGGCGCCGCGAAGCACGCCGGGTAATTGCTAGTATACATGTATATGTATAAGCATACACGTGGGCATAGCTGATTACACTCTTCATCTGTACGAAAAACGATCTACCAATGCTCGTCAGTGTTGCCACTATTATGTTATTAGGTACCAAAACGCCTACCAAATCAGTTTGCAAACTACCAAACTTTTTTTCTTCATTAATGCTAGATTTCTTGAATTTACGGGATTTTCAGCACAAATTAACAGCCAAAATAAAAACGACACATATTATTGTTTACAGTATTAGTTAACAATTCATACAAATTTTAATGTTAAGCAAAACAAATTCGTGCCTTTAAATAAAAGATTTTACTTATTCCATAAAAATATTTTGCAAAAAATGTAGATATCTTTGAGATTAATTTGATTTATTCAAACATTTTTTTTTTGTGCGTGAAAAACAAAATCAGACATTTTATGCAGTTCAATCAAAGAATTCCCAAATTCTTTTCAATTTGCATACACTCGCACTTTTTTACCAATACACTCACACATTGCAAATTGCCCATCATCAATTTTTTTTTCAAGACGATAAGTAATTTCTCGTTCTATTTCAACAGCTGATCGATCATAGCTTTGGGAAGTTAGTTTTTGTTTGCAGAAAATTGTCTGCTTAATAAAATATAGAAAAAACAAAGAAATCGTATACGTGCTAACAAAGTGAAAGCAATGTTTTGAACGTGTAAACATAAATTAAGCGAACAAATTTTAGTGCTCAATTCGGTTGTATTTTTCAAAACAGTTTTGCCTACCAAAAGGTTCATCAAACCAACCAAGCTACCAAAGGAGAATGAACCTACCAATTTTGGTCCAATTGGACCAAAACGGCAACGCTGATGCTCGTCAATGAGCGAAACAGAAATCGTTTTGTTTGCACTCTTTTTTCTTTGCAAAGTTTGTGTCTTTGGACGAATCATTCGTGAAATGTTTCGTTTGTTTTGAACTCTGTGTATGGACATACTTCGATACATACATACATATGATTAGTTTGTTGTGTCAACCACATACTGCACATGACTTCCCAGCAAACACAAGAAAAAATATTCTCCAACGTTTGAGAAACCCTTAATTTTCAAGTTGAGTTTCAACATTCCTTACCATTTGAGAATTATCCTTTTCTCAAACCCTATTCCTCAATTTGCCCTTAAGTTGAGGAATATTTGAGAAATTTTTAACAGCTTTCTGGCAGCGCTTATGTTTCCTTTGCAAAAGTGTTGA